AAAGGGGGTGGGAAAAAGGGGTCCAAATCTTTATTCATAATACTATAGAAACAAGAACTATTTATTCTGTTTTTAATTTTCGAGTTTTCAATAGGTAAGCCAACATACTATCAATATATATATATATGTAGGCTAACATTTGATCTACTTAGTGATAGGGTTATAAATAAGTCGGGTAGTAGGTTATTTAAACTTGCCTTAAAAACTTAATGAGTATTAAAATATATTCAAACTTAGCTTGTTTACAAAGGAGTTGATCTCAAGTGAACTTTTAACAAGCCGAACACAAGTCGAGTAGTTTGGTTTTTTTTTTTTTTTTTTTTTTTTTTTTTTTTTTTTTAATGCATATAAGTTTATTGAATCAAATACTAGATTGTTCAAATTTACTTTGAAAATTTAATGAGTTTAAAATTGTATTCAAGTTTGATTTATTTACATAATAAATTATCTTAAACAATTTTTTAACGAATCAAACAAGTATTGAGCTCAACTAACTTAGTTTGCTTAACAAGGTTACTTCATGAATAATAAAAATAAATTATTCAAATCACTAGAAGGGCTCAAATTAAGTCCATATATAGCCCATGAATTGGTCTAAAAAAAATAGTCACAATTTGACTCACAAACAAATGACATACATCATAACTTTTAATTTAGCACCCACTAAACATAGAAGATCTAACTCCCTTACCATATTATTATGAATAAATTTTAAATTTTATATTGTATGTTTCATTCAGTTTCTTTATAGGTGAGAAGAGTTTGTATCTTAGTAGCTTATCTATTCTATATATAAAATAACGGTTTTTTTTAAATATATATATATATATATATGTACAAGTAGATGCGTAACAATCTATACATTTTAATATGTTTGTTGAAGAAAACGGACCAATAAGGCCCTTGTGAATTGGTTTTTGTTGTGTTGTGTGGTGTCTCTCTCTGTGAAAGCTCTATCTGCCTTAGAATAATGGTGGCAGTGTGAACAGAAGATATTGAAAGAGGGAATGGTAAAGCCCTCGTGCCCATGACTTAATATGTGGAACCCAATCTTGACTGCTTCACTATCTCCTCTTTTGTTTTTCAATGGAACCCTTGCTTTCATTAACAACATAAGAGGTGAAATTAATACCCACATCATCACACATTCACATTGAACATATTACTTTTCCAAGTAATTCCCTTTTCAAAAATATTGATAGTGATGATACCTTATTTTTTCACCCTTTTTCCCATTCTTGTCCTCTCTCTCTCTCTCTCTCTCTCTCTCTCTCTCTCAAACATAACATCTATGAAATTGCTGCATAGTTTCCATGTAGTTGTGTTAGCCTTTCTCCTAGATGTCTCTTCTTCTATTTTGTTAGAGGGCCAAGATAAGTGTAGCAGAAATTTCTTTTAAAAAAGCTAGAGTTTGGAAACTGATATTTTTTAATGTAAGAGTTGTGAAAAAAAATTAGCAAAAAATTAATAAATTTTATCTGATTAAAAAAAAAAAAAAAGCAAAATAAACTAGAGTTTGGAGAGTAATATTTTTTATGTAAGAGTTGTGAAAAAAATTAGCAAAAAAATTAATAAATTTATATCTATGATTGATAATACTTATCTCAATTAAATCATACAATTTTTTAGCTATATAATTAGGATTTTTGTGTATAATTTATTAGAATGTCATTTTAAGATATTTTATTAGTTAATATAACATTTACATATTAAATCAATTGACCCTATTACGTAATATCAAAAATAATTGGGGGTCATGATATAAATATTGCAAAAATAATCATGAAATAAAGGATCAATAAAAGAATTTTAAAAAACATAGAGGAACCATTCTATATGCATTATAAAAATATTCACAAATTAATGAAAATAATAATAAAAAAATTTAATTATACTAAGACTCCCTTTAAAAATATTAATAAATATCAGTTTATCTCTATAATTTGTAAGCACACGTATAAATGCTTTACTCTTAGTGATGAAAGTGATATATTTTTTCAACAATGCTACATTCTTTTAATTTATCACTCCTAAATAACTCAAAATGATGTGGCATTGAGGTTAGACTCCACATGATAGAATTGTTGATAAATTAAAATTTGACACTTATCAAGCACATCATCAGATATAATTTTTAGAGATAATAAATTAAGTGTCTCAAATATTTTATATATTTTTTATAGTTAAAGAGTTCAAAATGTATAAATTCATATGAACTAATATTTATTGATAGTTAAGGCAATCGTAGTGTAATTCAACCTTCCAAAATTCTAAAAAACTTACTAGGGTCATGGCTCCTTGTCCCACCCTTGGTTTGGTCCCAGTCTTGAGCTACCGTGATTGCCTTTTTTTTTTTTTTTTCTACGTTCTGTTTTTTTTTTTTTTGATAACTCAGGTATCTCCAACCCGTTGATTTTAAGGGAAGCCAGGACTAATCCTGAGGGCCCTGAAGTTAATGACCGGGCAAACCTCCAGTGGCCCCAAGGGGTGACTCGAACTCGAGACTTGTGAATTTTATCCTCCAAACTTTACCATTCGACCACTTGCCTTGGGGTTGAGCTACCGTGATTGTTAAACATGCATGCAAGGCCAACTTTCAAGATTTCAACAATTATAATATTTTTTTCATGGAAAGCTCCAATATGTTTTTATTCTAGTTGTATTTAGCACTTATCTTGCCAACAAATGGGTGTACCTTGTTTTGAATTCTTTGTACATAATATGATTATGTGTATCGTCTTATTTGTAGGTTTACGCCAAAATGTCTATTTTATGATAAATTGAAATCTTGTCTTTTAACTTTTGTTGACCCAAACACGTTTTTTCTACAAGAAGTTTAAAGTGGTCAATCAGTGGTTAAGATATTTTAGATTTAAAATGAAAAGTAAATTTAGTATTGTGGTCATCAGTAGGTTCTTAGCCCAAAGTAATTATGAAAAGTTGCAATTATTATAAGCTTTGATGACATAGCTAGAAATTCAATATTGTGTACCCTTGTCTTAATTTTGCAAACAATATTAATTAAAGAGCCCTAACCAAGATCAAGAATTTGAAAATATATATTTATTAGTGAAAAGTTATAACTTAGCTTACTTGTTAATATTACAATAAATATTTTGCACCTTACTAGGATTAAGAATTCAATTACTTCTATGTAAATCTTATTCCTCTTATATTTGTTCCAGGCCTATTTTTTTTACTTTTAAAAATTTATATATAATTGTGATTTATGTTGTATTTGATTCTCATTATAATTGTTGATTTATAATAATTGAAATTGAATCAAGTGATCGGTCCACTGGCAAGGTAATGTGTAACCTTAACTGAGCTGAGCCGTCGACAATTATATGTACGACCTTGGAAAAACCTTGGTCTTGTTTGGCATATATTTCACCACAATAAAGAGAACCACAACTAACTTTAAAATTATTTGTTACGGTTCGTTTGGGATATGGGGTTGGTTTTTTGATTTTTTGGTTATTTTAGCTTGAAACTAAAAAGTTTTGTTTGAGATAGGTTTTTTGATTTTTGAGAGAGAAAAAAGTGAAATGATTATGGTTTGAATGTGACGTTTTATCTTATTGATTTTTTAGTCTACTTCATCTTTTTGTGACTAAAATAATAAAAAAATTAAAAAATTTGACATATCAAAGGAAAGGCTTAGATAATAATCATCTAATTCATCAACAATATGAAATGAACCCAAGATCCAGCCTGGCCTGTACTCCCCTAAATATGTACTGCCAAGAGCATGTATCTATGGGGGCAAAATGATAATGTACCAAAATTTGATATTTTTTTTATTTTTTTAATAAAAAATCAAATATAAATATTATTTGTTAGTCCTATCATAAAAAATATGTCAAAGTTTGTGGTTGTTATAATTTGGTATGGAAGATAACAACCAATGAAAACAAATTTAAAAGAGTTGCTCTCAAATTTTAAATTTTACATGAAAGATAGTACACCATTTAATATTCTGTGAATTGTGTTGAAATTTTGAATTTCTGTAAAAAATTATTGAGGGAAAGGAAAGGAAAAGAGAAGGGATTTGTAAATAAAATAAAATATCATTGTTTGTTACAAATCTCTTTTATTATTTTTTTTCTTCACAAATTCAAAAACAACCATAAGATTCGTTCAAATACTCTGCAAATGAGGATTGCTAGAAACTTAGAATTTAAATATCCAAATTCACTCACACTAACATGGTAAGGAGTTTTGTCTTACATAACTGAGTTTGCGACAAATAAAAAATTAACACACAAGCTATCATATATTATGGATAAAATTAAGATATACTTTTTAGGATTCTCAATATTTTTGGAAATGAAGCTCTTTTACTTCCACTATGGGGAGATATGAAGGACAAACCAGCTTTTTGTCTATCAAGTTGTAGCTATGAACATTTGTAAAATGGAGTGGTCCGACCAGGTTGGTCCTACATCCATCCATAATATCTTATCTAATCTAGGGGTATAATTACAAGTATCTTTTGAATCTAATAGAAGTGTAACAGATTCAATGGCTTGAATTATTGAGCCCCAGCCTCCAGGGTATATTTTTTTGGAACCACATGATTTTTATTCGAGTTTTCTTCATCATTAAAAATGTGTTTAAAAACAATTTTCCATCTATTTTTCAAATAAATTTGCCATGACAACCCTTTAGCTTTACTCTTATCACATGCCCCTCAAGTTTTACTTGCAAATTTGTGAATTAGATCTTTATCAATATTATTATATTAATTTTAGCTTGACATTAAATTAATTAGTTGAGAGTACTAACATAATTACTATTTATTACAAAATAGTAACGTCCATTAAATTAATTAGTTGAGAGTACTAACATAATTACTATTTATTACAAAATAGTAACGTCCTATTTAATGAAGCCTCAATTAATTTTTTTATTTTTACAGTTTTAAATGTCTAAAATGTAAAACTTTGGAGAGGGAGAAAAATAGTAAAAGAAGAAGAACAACAGTCACATTTGCTCGCTTGAAAGTCTTAATTAAGAAACTAAAATAGAACTAACTTCTTTTTTTAATTTTTTACATCAAACCTAGCACACAACCAGAAAAAAAAAAATGCTAATTAATACTATAGTAGTGGCACTAATCAAAATTCAAAATGCGAAGACATGCATCATCAAAATCAACAGCTCCTACAATGAAATCATCCGTGTCCAAGCCGCCATGACTATTAGGGCTAGCCGTACATGAGATGACATCCCCATGATCACGATCATGATCAGACACCGTCATGGGCCCGGATGACTCGAATGTTGTGAGATCAGGTGACAGAAGATAATCGGACGACGATGATTGGTTGTACTGGCCAAATAAAGTAGTTGGCTTGTGATCATCTTCCTTGCACTCCTGCTTCATCATGGGAAAATTATTGTTTGGGGAAAATGGTTCATGCGATTTGTTGTTTGAACCAAAGCTGAGGAAAAGTGAAGAAGAGTCATTATTAGGAGTAGAATCGAAGATGAAGTGAGGAGGAGATTTGAGAAGATTTCTGCAAGTATGGTGGCCGTGGTATGTGGTCCGATACATCTCCGGATCGTCTTCGGTTTTTTGGACCTGTTTGGTGGCTTGACATCCCTGATCAAACTTGTGTGTGCACCTGAAGTAGTTCCTGCACCCACATCAAATCAAATATATTAGCTTCATTTATTATAGCCTAAGCCTAAGCCTAAGCCTAAGCCTGCCCAAATGCATGTAATTAATATAGCAATATACTAATCTTGTTTGGTTTAGTTTAGTTTTTAAAAATTGTTTTTGAATTTTTATTTTTCATATTTTTTTTGTCATTAATAAACCTTTTAGTCAATTTTATAAATTTTTAATGCATCTAAAAATTAAAATATTTGTAAAGAATTTTTTTATATAAAAAAAAAATCACTAAATATAAGATAAAGTATTTTTTTGTGGACTTTTTTCACAAATATTTTCTTTTTTAATACCATATGTTTCGTAAAATTTTCCTAAGAAACAAAAAAAGGTTACTTTTGAATTTTGGAAACTATTTTTATTGTTTTCTATATGAAAACATAAAATAAAAACAGGAAAAAAAAAATGAAGATGAAAGAGTAAATATTTTATCCATTGAAATTGTTAATACTGATGAAAGACTAAATATTATCAACAAAATTTATTTTTTTGGTAATGAAAAATAATGTGCAAGGGTAGAATTATTGAAATTACCGTGGGTGCTTGGCATTGAGGATAACTTTTTGTCCATACTTTCTCCATGCATGGCCATCGTCAATTAAAGCAGGGGTAGTTTTTGTCCATGTCTGCGATGTCTTTCTGTATGTGGGATTTTATTATATTATTACAATTGTTAACTAACCACCACACCACTCATCATTAAAATGTTTGTAATTCAAGGTCTAAAATGGGGACACAACAGTCTCTCTCTCACTGACAAAGTTTTTCTCCTTGTTCGTGACTTACTTGGATCCAATTGGTAAACAAAAACTTTCCCTATCACTCGTGAAAAGACTAAAATAACCCCCAAAAATACAGTTTCTATCTATTTGTCAATCTTAGAAAATTAGTGAAATAATAGAAAAAAATGATTTATAAATATAATTTTTTTTATATATAAAACTCATACAGAAGGATGAGATTGTAATTTTGAGCTACCTTCTTGAAATGAAAAGATAACACAAAGCCATGGGAGTTTTCATTTTCAACAATTTTTGCATTTTGAAGGTTAATTTTTGAAAATTAACTTTTGAACCAAAGTTATTGCGAAATCATGGCCTTGTTTGGAGTTTAATTTTCAAATTATGTAATTTTGTTAAAAAAAAAAAAAATGTATAAATTGAGATAATGTTATGAATGAAAATAGAAACTCCCTCAAAACACTCATCATAGTACCTCACAATTACAAAAATACCATTATCATATAAATTCTATATATAAGTTTAATTTATAAAAAATTATAATTATATTAGCATACGACACACACCTTCTCTTGTAACAGCCTCGGCGGTCTTTCAACCCCGAAGTCTTGCTGCTGTCGTCGGAATCTTCGAACTTGCGAGCATCCGAAGGAGGCGAATTCGCCTGAATTTGAGCAGAAACCTCATGGGTACGATTCAATATGGAAATAGTGTCCGTGAAGGATCCTAAGATTTTGACGAGGAGATCTCCGGCAGCGGCCGATTCATCGTGGTGAGAGAAGGGGTTGCGGAGAATGAGTCTGAGCTGATTTGCTAATTCACGGCCTTGAATTAACTCTTGAATGGCCTTTTTCCGATCACAAGATAACTTTTCAGGCCATGTGGGAGAGGACTGCTGCAATGTGTGCTTCATAGCTCGCCCTCACTCTCTTGATCTCTATCTGTGTAAAGAAATGGGTAGGCTTTTTAATATGTAATGATAAACAGGTGAGAGAAGATAAAGAGTTACGGATTTCAAATAATTTATCTAATTTTTTTATCAAATCTTTTGTATAATAATTGTGGGTCTATACATATTGAATTTGTGTGAATACTATATTTAAATATTGTATTTAGTTTAAAGATTTAAGAAATAATTTAAAAAGTATAAGAAAAAAAATAAAATAAAATGTTCATAAAATTTATTTATATTTCACTTAATTTTATATAATTTTTTTTTTAAATCTTTCAACTAAACAGATTTAACAAAAAAAAATTGATAAATTAGTCAACATCTATAATATTTTCCAAAGAAAAAACGCATAACAACTAGCCAAATGCTTGGAAGTTTAAAGAGAGAGAGAGAGAGTGAGAGGGAGAGAGGGAGGGGGTTGCTTGGAAAATTCCTCAGCGTAGTTTCTAATCCCCACGCGCCACGATCTTGCCTAATTATTATTAAAAAAAATTATTTAATAATTTCGAAACATTACGGGATCATATTTTAAACCAATCATTAATTACTTAATTTTTATGTTATTCGTCTATTTCCAATATAAATCGTACCTTCTCAATCAATTAAAATTTTATAAAGCACCACGTATTTATACTATGATAATATTAAATAAACACTCCATTATTATTATTATTTTTGGCACGCCTTCTGGCTTAAAATTGTAAATGCCAACAACCTTCCATGTTCGTGAAGAAATTTTTATATGTCAATGAAATATTATGTAACATTAATTTTTATTAATTATAAATATATATATATATATATATTTTATTATTTTTTAAATACTCAATATAAATATAGTAAATTTTATTATCAAAATCAATTTAAAATGTGCTATAAGACATATATATTCTATCCATATATAAAAATTATTTATGTTCATGACTTAATTCACTCACATAATTACATAAATTCTTTTTGAATTTTTTTTGTTAAATCTCATTTTTTATTTTAATTTTTTACTCTTAAACACAAGTATAAAAGAGTCTCATTATTAAAAGTGAAAAAATGACATAAGAAATAAGTCTGTGTAATATTATTATTATTTTTTTCAGGTATCATTACTATTAATGGAAAATAATTTTCACTTTCACCAATTATACTCAAAGGGAGAAACTTATCTCTGGTATTTAAAGTAAATTAATCTAATATTTATAATCTTATGATTCTTCATTTAATAAGATAAACAACTATAATTTATTTTGGTTTGTAATAAAATAAATAGCTAATATAATATGTGATAATGTTTGAAAATGTTTAGTTTACTCCAATTTCCAAATATTTTAAGGAAAATGTTTGGGACCCCCTTTGGGTATGACACCCACACTTCCAAAGTGACCATGGCCCTCCATGTATGTGTGGTGCCTAGTCATGTATGTGTGAGGTCCACATCATGAGTGGTTTAGATTTGTAGGGGTCTTGTGAGAGTCTTATGGGAGTGAGGGTCTTAATCATTACTCATAGTTTAAAATAAAAAATAAAAAGTAAATTTTAGATGACACAATTCGAATGGACTCTATTATTTTAAATCAATCTAACTAATTACACAGTGAGTCATTTTAAGATTCAAATCACATCCAATTATTTAATTTCGACAATTCAACCATAACGACCCTAATATTAATCAATCGATATATATAGATTTTTCACATTAAATTATTTTGTTATGAGCCATCAATTGTGGTCATGCCAGCAAAGCCAGCCCCACCTTCCCTCTCTCCGACTCTAGCTTCACACTCCACAAAACATCAACTAGCACAACATTTTAAAATCGAAAGAACATGAATTGCCACACCAAAAACCAATTCTCTCGTGGTTAAGCAAGAAACTTCTTCTCACTAGACCCAATATACCCCAACCTAGGGCACTAGGATTACTTTGAGAGGGTAATTTTTGGAGAAAATTGGGTCAAGCTGTGAGATTGACTTTGTGGCCCAAAGTATGAAGGACTCAGTAAAAGGCCGTAATGTTATTCCGGCCCAGAAGAGGTATAGTTACTCCGGCTCAGGAGAGGTATAATTACTTCGGCCCATGATAATGTAAAGCTACTCTGGTCCGGTTGTGATGTCTCCTGAATAGGTCGGTTTGGCGGTACCTTTGAGTTAGACCGACCTAGGAGTTATACCGGTCGCAATTTGTTAAGTCTGGTCCAACCGTGTCATGGGTTGACAGGAGAGAACCGAGGTAAGGAGGAGTAAAAGCAGAACCGAACTAAGGAAGTTCGGCCTACTCAGTGGCTCTGCATAGTCAAGTTATCTCGGTCGTATGGCAGTTCGGCCATGATGAAAACCATCTCACTTGGTTTAAGCAGTGGGGGAGGGTGTAAAAGGATAAACATTATCCTTAGGAGTATGAATCCTAGGAGGACTCTACATGGAGGAATACAAATCCTACTAGGATTGTGCCACTCGAAACCTATAAAAGCTCACAAACATCACCTTAGAGGAGGTAACATAATACAACATACAATTTTTGCTTCCTGAATACATTGAGCTTTGTCTATTTGTCAAGTTTTCTGACTTAGGCATCGGAGAGATTTCCGGCACACACCCGCCGGCTAGCTTACGTTTGTTTTTTCAGGTGACAAAGCGACGTCGTACGGAGGAGTGTGGACTTAGTCAACAGGATTATACGAGGAGAATTATTTCTTCCCCGTACAATTACTTATTTCTTGAAATAATGAAATGTTGGCTGGCTTGCAATTACAACCAAATCTGGTTTTAAAATTCTTGACATATTTCATGCTCAAGCTATTTTAGTACACAATATTATTATAATTCATATATCAATATTAAACCATGTGGAAAACATATTACTTCATAAGCTTTAATTTTTTAACCCAAATAAATAAATAAATAAATAAAACTAAACAATTATTTCTTGTTCTATTGACCTTTCATGTATAGGTGATACTCAAAAATTAGAATGTAACTTTCACATTATATAATTTATTGATGGTACCACATTAGTGATATCACTGTAATATTGAATTTTTACTCATGTCTGAGAGAGGCCAAACTCATTGCCTAAGGTTGCCCCAATCATACTAGGAAAAAATAAAGGATGGGGACATCATAAGGTTAGGTTCATGTATTCCTTCCGTCTCAAAATATTAGTTCCTTATTTTATTTTTTATTATTTCAAAATATTAGTTTTTTATTTTATTTTTTATTATTCCAAAATATTAGTTCTTTATTTTATTTTTTATTATCCCAAAATATTAGTCAATTTTCAAAAATTATAGACTTAAATAATATAAATTTCTTATTTTGTCTTTCTTTTAAATTCATTAACAATATAAAAAAGTATAATTATGACAATTGATATTCTTAAAAAAATATACTATTAAAGGATGATTTAAAAAAATAATATTTTTAAAGTATAATAATTGTATTATAGAAAAAATTAATTCTCCAAAAAAGACTATTATTTTAATAAGGATGGAATATTTAATTTGGTACGACTCGAGACCACATTATTGTTCAAAAATATTTTGGACCTCTAAATCAAGAGTTCTAATAACTTTAATGTGGGTGTGAGTCT